GCCCCCCACCCCCCATCTGAATGTGGAATAATTTCAATGCAAATTTAACAACTGACGCAATATCCAAGAATATATATTAATTCTTGCTGTTGTGTTCTTCTGCTTAGGGCCTGCCAGAAGAAGAGTGTTAAACCGGTCAGATCTAGGACTGAAATCACTCAAGCTTCAGGTATCTAGAACTGAAGTAGCAACACCGCCCTACACACCTGGGCATTTAACCCCAAGTGAGAGAGTGAAAGTAACCCCAAGGGAACGTAACGCCAAGGAAGCCACTTCTGTTACTCCCAAGGATGCTGTGGAGTCATCAAATGAAGCAGAGTCTACTACGCCTAAATCAAGTGTCAAATCCGGTGAAGCATTGTCCAGGGTACTTTCTATTGTGTTGTCAAAGGCCAAAATCCCTGAGTCAGCTTTTGTGCCAAATAAGGGTGCCCAGCTGCAGGCATCTACTCCTTCTCCAGCTCCTGCTCCAGCACCTGCTCCAGGTCCAGCTCCTGCTCCATCTCCAGCTTCTGCTCCATCTCCATCTCCTGCTTCAGTTCCTGCTCGAGCTCCTACTCGTGCTCCTCCAGGTGTCCACCCACCCATCACATTTTCTGGTCCCAATGCCAAACGACAGCGTAGATATTTGAAGAGGCACACTTGCCCTGATTGCAACAAACAGTTTTTGAGACCCAGTTATCTTATAGTTCACAGAAGAAGACACACTGGTGAAAAACCACACATTTGTCCCATCTGCAATAAATGTTTTGCTCAGCCAGGTGCTCTCAAAAGACACAAAACTTTGCACAGTGGGGAGCGTCCATACACATGTGAATATTGTCTCAAATCTTTTAACAGATCCAGTACTCTGAAAATACACTTGCGCTTACACACCGGTGAACGTCCTTATGAGTGTCCAGACTGTGGCAAAACATTTGTTGCTCACAGCCAGTTGTGGTCACACAAACGTGTGCATATGGAAGGTAATTATAAGTGTGATGCTTGTGGTGAGAGTTTCAAACGAAAGCCTCTCCTGATACAACATTGGTTTCTTGTTCATGAAAATGGTGAAGTGATACACACAGTATTGTAGAGGCGATTCTCTGGAGACATTTGCTCAGGTGTGCATGCAGGATGGGTCAAAGGCACCATGGCCTTCCTGACAATGTTCAAAGAGTTCTCATATTCTTAAATTTTGAAACTTTTTATTTTGAATGTTATGTTTTTGCTTGTTATTGCTTTTGGTACAGAGCTCCAGATAAAGTGCTTTATTCCTCGATTGATAGAACTGTTGTTACGAGGGAAGTATCAAAACTACTGTTACAAGTTTTCTTAGGGAGTGAAAGGAGAGAAATATGAAATGACAAACCGAGTCTAATTAACATTATTTAATTAGTTAATGAATTAATCTTCATCATTAAAATTAGGTTAAATAAAATCTTGTACTTATCACAGGCATTAACTAGTTCTAATAAAAGCGGGCAATTGAAGCCCTAGGGCCAAAGGCCCTCAGGCTATTAGTAGTCGTTTGATTATTAGAACCCTTACAATGCCCTTGGTTGATAAATAACTTTATCGTGTTCAATATTTTAATTCCCTGATTTCCCCCATCTTTCTTACCTGACAGTTGGGCAATTGTTGTTAAAAATTTTGGGATGGTGGCTTTCCAAGCCATCTGGAAACACTAACTGAATGGTTCTACAGAAAATCAATTGAATTTTTTTAAAGCATCATTAAAGTTATAATTTTATTCTCCTTGTATATTTTATTTATTTACTAGTAAAATATGTCATAAAAGAATATAATGGATAAGTGTGTACAAAAATTTAGTTGGCCCACTATCTTGTTTTAGGCTGTGCATTCCTATAGATGTATGATCAATACTTATTAAATATTTTTAAAATTATAGTGTATCTTTGTTAAGGCGCGTTTACACAGAGAAACTTTCTCTCCAAAAGGTGTGTTTACACGAAGAGACATAGTCTCCTAACTTCCATGAAGTTAGGAGATAAACTCTCTTAGATGGCTTTACACAATTCGAAATATCTCCTGAAACGTGAGTCTCCTAAACCAAGTATCATTTTGCAATAAATACTTTTCCATTTTTCTTACTTTTTTATTGCGTGAGATATTTTTCTTAATAAAAAATCAAAACCTTCTGAAGTTACGAAGTTTTTGTACATAACTTCATCGTCCTTTGTAATAATATTATATTTTTTATGTGTGAAATTTTGTTATATAAAACTATAACTGCCGATCTGGTGGCCGAGATCGCTAAGTCAATAGTGTCGTAGCAATCTGGGACCAAAAGATCGCGGGTTCGAGTCCTGCCTTGAAAATTATATTCGTCCTTTCACCCTATCATCATATCGTGTAATCCTCACAGTTACCATACCGTTGCAAGCAATAGCGGTCGCTAATGACCTAGAAGTTGATGCGATCTTAAATAACAAAATAAAAATTAAAACAACTATAAATAGGCCTTCTCTTTCATATATGCCTGCTCTACAAGGTGTAATGCCTCTTAATAAATTTCAAATAATTCAAAATAATCTCTGCAAAATATTACTTCTTTCCTAGTTTAAATCATATAAAAAAAATTACAGAGAACTTAAAATTGATTTATATTTTTTTTACTTAACTTCACTAAAAGTGTCTAAAACAAATTATCAACTTCACCCATTTTTTAAACCTTTACGGTAGGTCAAAACTATTTTCCTCATCCTCATGGAATCCGACCACGTTTTCCAAAAGATATTTTTAATCCTCCGTAAATTAAAACTTGTTTTATTGAATTAAATTAAAACTAATTTACTGTTCCTGAAAAAATTGTAATGCAATTCAACAGGCAGCAAATAAATATTTTTTAAAAAAATCTGCTTTTGCAACTCCATCAAAGTTTTATTAAAAAATTAAAAAATAAAAAAAAAATAAAAATTGAAAGTTAGGAGACTTTGTCTCTTGGTGAAAATGCACCTTTAGATAACATGTCATGAAAGCTTGAAACTCTTCATTATTAAATGATATTGACTTATTTATTGCCTACTTTAAATTATCTACTAAGAATTGAAATTATGAGAATGAGATAGCTCTAAACCACGTTTTAAAAAAAGTAGTTATTTGTGCAATTCAATCTGAAATTTAATATTGAAGTTCCTCTTCATGAAGATTATTGGAGAAGACACAAACAGAAATGGAATACAGTGTGTGATTGTGAATGTTTCCAATGTTGTCAAATGACATCACTTCATCCATGGGAGACCTTGTAGCTTGTGAAATTGTAAGATTGGTTGAGTAGTGCTCTCAATTAGTATTGTTCTTCACTATTCCTTTTGTAGGAACAAATGTCAAATTTGGATGTGTTTTTGAGATTGCTGGCAATTCCTTTGTCTCGTGAGGGTTTATGCTATTATTGTGCAGTGTTTTGTGTTATATTGTTTGCTTTCTGAATTGTTTCTGCTTTTTTGTTCTTTTTCTGATTTGACTAGTGGTGTTGACGAGTAACCAAGAAACTTGTTTTCATAATAATAAATGAAGGGTACATGGAAATGATCAAAGTTCAGTTTGAAGATTTTGAGAAAATTGATTTTTATAGTTTATGCATTATATTCACAGGTTCATATTAAATCATTCTGAACAATATTTTCATAGATATTTCACTGAAATTTTATATTTTTTGACAATGCTAACTAACATGTGTGTAATAGAAAAATATATTATTGATACAAGAAAGCTAATATACTAGGGGAAAAATGATCAAAATCCTGTACTGCCAAAACCTTATTCGTCACATCAAAATCTTTGCTGCTACTGACCAGCAATGTTCACCATCTAAGATGGCTCAACATCAATATTCATAGCTTGTTGCATCTCGGACTGAAATGTCTCAGGATTTGATTCTTTGGTGGCATGTCTTCGACACTAGCTCTAATACTTGGTCAAATTCAACTGCTGTTTGCTGAATTCTTGCTGCTGTGGTTTTTCATGGTTTTCTGATGAATACCAGGTATATGCTGGAGTAGTAACTTAAGAAATGAGCCACTGACTGGCAATGATCGTTTCTTCCTCATCCTTGCCTCCTCTGCTTCCTTTACATATACATCTTCTCCTATATTATTTCAGAATTATAGATGAGTTTTGTGGCTCTCACACCCAGCCAATTCTTATAAATGAGATCTCTAAAGAAAGAGAATTTCACGGAGACATAACAAATTGCACTTTATCCTTCCAGCAGGCATGCCTACAATTTTTTCACCAGCAGCTGTGTTTGTAAATTTTACATTTTTGAAATATCTCTTGAATAAAACAATGATATTGTTAAACAATGTAATTTTATGTTACATTATAATATCTAAGAATGCTACATTAGTGTCAGACAAACCTAGAAATACTATCATTTCCAATTGCAAAGTGTAATCTATCACGTAACAATATACTTTCACTATATGGTGAACTTGGTTTTTTGAAACTGCTCTACACTCTGTCCTGCCATTCTAAGCATTAGCATTTACCATCAAAAAATATATTAGATGATGAACGTTCTTATTTAGTATCAGAAAGCTCTTGTTCTGATTAAGTTTCATGCTGATGCTCATCTGTTTTCAATGCTATTATCTCTATCCAATTCATGATCTTTTTCACGATCAGAGAGTTTCTGAAGAACATGCTTAATTTCATTCACATGATTACTTTCTCTGGATATTTTACACAAAATTTTGATTAGGACAAATATCACTGTTTTGAAAACAGCGGGCATGCTGTATAATGTTTACAACAGTATTGACTAACCCTAATAGAGTGTTACAGAAACTCAATATCGGGTACGAACTAGACAGTGGCTGCAGAAATGCGTTACTAAAGATATCTGCAAGTAATATCAAGAACGCAGAAGTCTTTGCCAACAATGAGTTGACAGCAAATCCAAAAATCCTGATATTGCCTTAACATTTATGCAAGAACATCCATTGGAAGGTTATCTTTAAAAATGTGAAAGATTTGTTTAAAAAATGCATGTAAATATTAATGTCAAATGCAACTCCCAACACTCTGGCAGCGTTGTTGAAATCTATATAGTTATATAACTCCAAAATAAAGTGTTCTAAGGCCTGAAAACCAAGAATTTTGAGGCCAATGGCCTCAAAGAAATGATCGTCATACTGTAATGTATCTTGGACTTCTATTGAAAGTGTTATGAATTGTTCCAAGAACATCTCTCTATAATACAAAATAAACCTTTATTGAAAATTTGTTTCAAATATCAACCTTTATATATTTTTGAACAATTAAACATGTTTCGTTAACAACTTTCCCTTTTCATATGGAAATGGAAGATGAGGGAAGAGAGTGGCGTTTAACATGTGAGAGCTCTCGCATGGATATGCTAGTTACACTTACACTCACTACACTACCCTACCGATCTGTCTTGACTGGGGCAGTTGCTCTTGAGGGAGATTCCTGGAGAGGAAAATCCGACATACCAACATGTTTGTCAGAGCCCAATATTACATTCCAGTGGAGGAGGAAGACCCGCACCTTCGAGCTATATCAGGTAGTACACTTAACGAACTAATGAACAAAGCAGTTGACATGTCCTGAAATGGTTAAATACTCACCAACAGTGTTGAGTATTGTTGAGCTGAGCATCAAAACTGTTTGAGAACTTGCAGAAGACTTTTTGGCTTGCAGGATTTGGATGATGGATTTGGGTCACTTTCAGAGGGAAAGTAATTCAGTTCTTGAATCTCAGAAATTTCATTGACTGTTCATTTCATAAGAACCAAAATGTCTGAGGACAGCAGCAAGTACAGAATCCTCTGGGACATTTTGGAGGGGGAAAAAAAAAGAAAATCGTATCGTGTATCCACCAATGGGTGCCTCCTGCAACCTTCGATGTCAGAACTATCACAACAATTGCATTTTACCATTCATCTATCTTATTTTTGTGTCTCCTGAAGTATGGAACAGATGACACTGCAGTGACAGTGTTCTCATACTAACTTACGCTGCCATGTTTTCCGATAATTTTGTTTGTTCCCCAGTAAAATTTTGTTGTATAGCTTTCTTTCTCAAAGCTTCAAATATGAGAATTATATTTTTAAGTGAATGGGATGAGACAATAATGAAGTAGAGAATGATCTTGATTTTTTTTTCCAGATATTATTGTTGGTTTTGATTCCTATATACTATTCTCCCTTCTAATTTTCTTTTACTCAAAATACTCATGCTTGCTTGCATTTTTTAGTTGCATGTCAAACTGTTAAAACAAAGTCATCAAACCAGGCCAGTTTCAGTAGCAAGATTGAAATTGTTCTTTTTTCATTGAACGCTTTGAAAGAAACATAAGAGAGAAACACTTTTGATTTTTGAAGTATCTTCATAATTATGTGCATTATCTTACTCTTGTGTTCATATTTCAAAAAGTAACTTGTATTATAAACAACAGGATTTTGCGGCATTTTTCCACAACTGTAAAAGTTGGTTTTTAGCTGCTTGTCTTTGCAAAATGGCCATTTCTTTTCAATTTTTCAAAATTATGTTCTAGAATTTTTGAAAAAACTGAAGAAATCTTAGTCTAGCATTTTGTCAATGTTCAATTGCTTCAACCAAAGTAAATAAAAGGTTTTGAGACATTTTTGTGTAATCAGTATTTATTTATTTATGAATTGCAACAAATGACAGAGCATGCACCAACCTCAACATGAGGTTGTCATGAGCAGACATCACATCATTACATCACAATATTTGAATGGTTCAGACAATGGACTAAATCAGTTACTTTTACATAAATATTTTAATGTTTTGTAATTTATGCTTTGTTGTTGACTAATTAATAAGCAAATTAATTAAATTTTGAAAATTTAAAATACAATTAGATATCTGTTCAAGAACACTCCCAAACGCCAGAGAAATTGGTTTTAACTATATAACAGTAGCTACCAAAACTTCAATTTCAATTGATTCTTGTAAAGTTAATGGGCATTGGAGATATCTTTTGTTAAAAACATAATGGAGACAAATGAGAGCCACTGCAATTTTTGTTTTGTAAACTTTTTGTGATAAATATTATGCAATGAACTTGTGAAATTTTTAGATTTCCCAAAATAACTCTCCTATGTACGTCTTACCTGTTTTCTCTGTGTTATGATGTTGAATTTTTCCATTGAAATGTAGTCTTGAAATTCGTGCTCCATCTCAGTGTGTCGAAATTTGTGATTACTCATGTATTTTCATTCTACATAAAATTCCAAAAATTCATTTCTTTTGAGGTTTTCAGAAGACAGTTCTCTTTTTATTGGTTTTCCAGTATACTTTATATTTCAGTATATTTTTTCGATATACTGTAACGTACTAGCAAACGAATCTCGTAGCAGCTATTTGGGGACGCGTGTTAAGGGATTAGTAACAGAAAATCGCCTCGCCACAGGAGGGAGAGAAGGGTTTTTCCTAAAAGCCAGCACGCGGCAATGGAAGTCACGAGACTTTGGGGTCCTCCGGTCTCAAGACACCCAAACCTCATGGCGAGGAAAAGGGCGTTGCGGGGGCGGCATGACGTAGTAGTGACGTGATCATCGAGTGTATAAGGGAGTGCACAGAGCTAATGGGTGGGCTCTGGAGACAGAGAACCTCGTGCGAATGCACAAATTTGGCGCCACGATGGCGAGGCAGCGGCGAGCAGGGCTCACGAGGCAAGTCAGCTGTTGACAAACATGTGGAGGACTTTGTGTCTTTGGGTGACTGCGGTCTCGTGGGAGTGATGGTGTGTGTGTGTGCTCCGAGGTGAGGAGTGGTCGAGTGCCACGACTCGCGACCGATTCTCAATGGG